TTTTATTATTATCCTTTGTGATTCATGTCTACATCCTTGCATGGTTGTGATTCTAATAAACAAGTAACAATTGGTTGTATTGTGCTTGTTAATAATATTTTTAAGGTGAATGCGGAGTTTTTGAGGATCACAACATCACCACTTCAATCAAAGTTCATGTGGCAGCTGGACCACTTCTCAGACAAGCTCTTGAAGATCTTCAAGACCAAAGGAGGACTAAAGGGCCACAAAATCAAGGAAGCCCTTGCAATATCAGATTTGGTTAGTATAAATGCAGAGAACCTCGTTTTTCACTGTATTGTTTTTGTCCATGCTCATATGAACACATTTAAGAAATTGTCTGCTTTTATAGTGTTTTTAAGGCAATAGCTTATTGTGGAAATGTAGGGGTAAGGAGTCCTGCTTAGGGAAACACACGACAGATACAGCCCTCTACTTTGTAGACTACCTGCTCTGTTGCACATGCATTGTGCTTAATTGTCTTTGATTTATCGCCCCTGCTTTAGTTTGAAAACATCCACATCAAGAGGGGGTGCATCCTGCGAAGCATCGCGATCTACCTCAACGAGGATCCAGACTCTTTTTTTAAGGAGTATCAGGTATGTTTATCACAATATGTTTTCAATGTAGTGGTTAACAGTGTTACCCACAATTATAACCACCATTACTTACATTGATAATAAGAAAATTCTATGGCGCACAACCCTATCCCTGCTTACATCTAAATATCTTATCACATATCATAAATACATGCAGAAATAAATAAATGTATACATTAATATAGGAATGAATATATGTAAGAATGAATAAATACAGAAATAAAAAAATAATAATAAATAGATACAGAAGTAATTTCATCGGGCAAGTGTTAAAATAAATATAGAAAAAAGTGAATTAATACATTTATACAGATATAAATACATCTATAAATTAACATAGGAATACAATTGATAAATACAAATGTGAATTAAAACATGAATATATCTGGAAATAAATACAAATAATAAATGAATGCTGAAATAAATATTTACATTTATATATAAATACATCTATAAATGAATAAATAAATATGGACATGAATACATATGTAAGAACTTATAAATAATTGAATAAATACATAAATAAAATAATAAATAAATGCTGAAATATATTAATCAATAGATTCATGTTTAAAAAGGTATGTGAATGCAGCAATTACTAAATTGTTAAAGGAATAATTACATAATCACATAAATCAAGGAAATAAATTATTAAATAATAAATAATCAAATACATATCAAAATAAGTAGGTAAATGCATAATTAACTACAGGAATAACAACAAATTACATGATTAAGTAGGGATGTAAACAAATAACTTAATACCTGAATTAATAAATAAGATAAAGTTGATAATCAAACAGAACATACAGGAATATATCTTTATAATTTATTTATGTAAACATTTTCTTACAAGCTTAATTTAGTTCTGTGTTGGAGGTCCTAACCTTCTCTGGTATCACTCAGGACATTTTTGTCCAAATTGGTAATTTTTCACATCAGATTTGGCTATAATGATTTTGTGTTTTTTCTAGATACTTTTTGGAATTTCAATTTTTCTAATCGGTCTCGAATACACTGTGTACAAATTACCCTAATTGTCCATTTAAAAAATGTTCCCACACTTCCCAAAAAGTGTGGGGGAAAAATATTTAAATATAATATTGTTATCATATCATTTTATCATTCAAGTTTTTGAAAGTGGACATTTTTATCCTGAGTGGCCAGATTGGGTAGTACATTTGAGTGATACCAGAGGGTTAGTCTAAAACTGTTTTGATCAATGAGGAGAGCCACATAAGTAAATCTGCTTCTATAAAATGTAGTAATTCAGGTTTTAGTTAACACATGTGTTGTATGCTTGTGTCTTTGTTCAGGCCACTGCCTCTGAAGATGCCAAGAGGGACATGGCAAACACAGTCATGGGCATATACACACTTCAAAGAGATGTGGATGGGCAGCAAGAGGACGTGGGAATTGTCATCGAAGGCAATATAGTCATGGACAACTTGGGCAGCGTGATTGTGGGGTTTGTCATGCTATTGGGACTTATTTATGCCCTGGATTTGAGCTTTCCGGACAACCTCAAACACACCTTCGAGTTCATGCAGAAGGTAGTGATGAATCTGGATGGGCACAAGCTGAATGGTAAAATCGAAAGTCTGAAGATCAAGTTGTTCGATTGAAATGTGAAAAAGAAGTGACTCATGAGTTCATTGTTGTCATTTTATTCACGAGTTTCCTAATCAGAGCAGATTGAGCCGTTATATCAATCATTTGTGCTTTTCTGTATTTGTTTGTTTCAACACACTGTAACACTATTTCCATATGTTGGTGTTTGCAGTGCACTCTTTATGTTATGTGTTATTGTCCTGTTAGAAGAGCAGTGCATACCCCTGTTATATTGTATTCATTGTATTTGGCAAAGGGAGATTTGTAAGTTAATTATAGGAGTTCCATTTCTCTGCCATTTTAAAAATGGTATTATCTTTCAGAAATGTTTTTCATCTTTCAGTGTGAATTCATTCATTTTTAAACACTATTGAATGGAGGATTGTTTTGAATAATGTGAATTTAAAAATAAAAAAAACTAAACCATGTTTTCTATCATGTGTAACACATTTTTATTAAATTATATTTAACCTCATTATTTCATTTTCAATTAATTAAATAGGATTTAGGTGGACTAGCATTATCTAAATTCATAAAGGTAATGTTATCATTTTACTTAAACTCTATTTGAAAAATTTGAGTTGGACTAACTCATTTACATTATACTGCATGGATGCCATTAGTTTGAGTTTGTGCCACATATATTTATTGGATGGAAAACCTGCCAACAATAAAATTGAGTTAATCCAATGAGTTATTTCTTTGAGTGCAGCAGGACACTGTTGGAAGTATGTATCATGCACGCTGTTATTGACACAATAGCCCTACTTTGTGAATTTGCACAAATATACACTGTTTGTACCCCAATTGAATTACAACCAACTAATAATTGTTCAACTTGCATGATTCAACCATTATATCCACTTGTATAGTATTCTTCCTCCCCTTCTGTGAACAAAAGGGAGTCAGGGAGAAGCTGGTGATCTGATCTACTGTGACATTTTATCAGCTTTCTAGGGCTAAAGGGCAGATGGACCTCACAGTATGCGCTCGCTCACAGAGACACGTAAACACACAGTGCACCCAAGAGTCTGGATTTGATCCAAATGACTTAAAATGGCTATCAAGGACACTGTGCGTATGTTTTGTATTGGTTTCTGAGAGTTTAAATAATCTGTTAATTAATCAATTAGCTGATTATAATCCGAGTCATTGACATCCATTTTAAGAAGCCACTTGTCGTAATCTTGTTTCTAAACCAAATTAATTTAATTTCCTGAATTTTGACTCTTTAAATGTGAAAATGTGCTGCTTTTCGTCACCCCCTTATAGTAAATGAAATTGATTGTTTGTCAAGCTTAAGATCCTGAAACAATAACGCTAATTTGTAGTTATTGTCTGTACGAGTTGATAGGTAGCTTTGATATAATCATTAAAATGGCAGAACTGCTATGAAAGCTAAATTATATGTGCAGCTGAAACAATTAGATAATCATAAAGAAGGCTACTGAGTCTTCAGATTGATTATCCCTATAAGAACTTTAGAAATATTAAGGCTATATTTTCAATTGTCTACCTTGTGGTCAATGGTCTTAGAGTCAAATAAATACATATGTTTCTTCTCACACTTCACTCTAATTCTCCCCTGATGGCCAAACAAATGAATGAATCACATCATGTTTTTCGACAGCCATGTGGTCTTTGGGTTTTAAAGCATGACAGAAAGGACGCCTTTCGTATATTTACCGATCAATATGTCACATTGTTAACGCCTGGTTACACATTGAGGGCGCGAGATGAGACGAGGGGGTGGGAGGGGGTAGTAATGGAGGCGCGTGCCCACATGAACCCCGGCGACCCTCCGTGCACGAGCCACCCTGTTGCTGGGCAGCGGCAGCATCTAGAGCTAATTTCTACGTTTCCAAGATTTTTCACATCTCCACTTCTGTCACTGGGAGGAATAGTGAGCCAAACAGGGAAGGGGCTGGTTGTGTCCGATTTTGGTTCAAACACTGATTGCTTCCGTGTCTCAAGGGATGGACAGTAACGAGATGGAGAAAGCAATTGGGGGTGTAGTGTAACAGGCCCGGTTGTCTCGGGCTTTCCCTGAATGTCTGGAGGAATTCATCCTTTCAGAGCCGTAAAAAGGCCTCCTGTAGCCCGGCCACGGTGCACCTAATCCCGCCTTTGTCCTGGCTGTACGCACAACGGAGAGTCGCAGCTGCACAACTGCTCTGTCAAATGTGTCTGCCCCCCTCTCTGATCACCTCCAGACCTGCCTGCCTTCTACATACAGACCCCCATAGACCCTAGAGCTGATGACATTAAGAACAAATCAGTAGTATTTAATTGTTTCAGGAAGGAGATGCTATTCCCCTTCAGACTCAGGATGGACCTTAGATTGGCCGGAGCAAGGGTTCAAGTGTCTTTAATGTTCAATACAACAGCTTGAGCAGCTAAGCATGACAGAACATATGTGGGCAGAAAAAATATCTTTCAGCACTGATCAATTATTGGTCTTTCGAATGCAATTGTAATCAAAATGCAAAGGCAATTGGTATAATAAATACTCAAATTCAATTCGATTCGATTTAACAATGCATTTGAAATATTAGAGACCATAGAAAAGACATTTCAAAACCAGCCTGTCAATTCCCACCTGCAATATCTCTCACCAATAAAAACAAGATTATTTAATATTTTATCATGCCCCTGTTTTAAATGCTGCCCCATGCCGCATTAATGGGTAATTGTCATGTTCCATATAATGCAGGAGTGATTTGAATCACGCACGGGCGAACACATGCACACACACACGCACAGGGTGGGACTCCAGTGCAGCGGACTTACCGTGAGCAGACAGCGGGATGATGACCATGGAGATGGTCAGAAGCACCTGCCAGGTGAGACTGTCACTGCGCGCCATACTGCTGGCTCTGCCTTTGACACACTGATGCAAACTGTGATCCCGTTCCTCGGTGTGCCAGTCAGATCCGTGGGCTGACCCTGTCCTTACAGCTGATCCTCTAAAATTCAGATTATGCCCGTTTTCGCCATGTCGCCTTTAACCTCCACAACGTTTGGCCTCCCCCTCAGCTGTGTGCGCGTTTATCTCGGAACCGATTAACTGCTCGGGTTCGGTCCCATTTTACCGAGCAGTTTCCCTCTCCTCGGCACTTTTACCGCGCGCTTTGGGGTCCGTCTGCAGCACCGCGAGGAGCTGTGGTAGTGGGCTACTGCGCGCGACCGGTTTAGGGTCTGCAGACGGGATTTTAATGAGCCGGGTTTGTCGCTGCCTGTCTGTCTGTATGCGATCCGTTAAGCCTTCCCCTAGGCTGCATTGGCGATGAACGGCAAATCACGGCACGGCACGTTGTGCGCGCACAGTGCGTTTGGGTGTCAAAGATGCCAACATACACACACACACACACATGCACACCCGCACGCACGCACGCACGCACTCGCCAGTGTCCACCCTCAGCTTAGCTGATGAATAAAGGGGCTGAGTGGGATTTAAGCAGCGTCTGTTGTCACTGCAATTCAATATGTTCCATTTTACACTACAGCTAATGTGTGTGAACATGTCCAAGAATCTCTCTCTCTGGGTGGGTTTTATATGTCAGTGGGTTATTTGGGTGCATGTTGGCCAGCAGAGCAGTGTGTATGCGTGTGCACAGTGGGTGGCTAATCCTTTTACTGTTATACCATGAAATATGCTCCAGACAATGGCATCTGCTGCTGTATTGCCCCCCTTCTCACCACTAAAAAGTCCTCTTTTTTCCAAATGCCCCCCATTGTTTAACAGTGTCTCTCAATTTCCATTGTATTCTTCCTTTCCCTTTTCCATACGAATCTCTGATGCACACACATTCGTTTTCACACTGCCTTTGCACCACTTGATTTGAATGCCTCACCAGTCTAAATGCCGAATATTGCTTTCACTCCTTTACAGTAAAATAAAAACCTAACACTGCCTGCGGAGGGCTGGCTGTCCATTTCTAAATGGGATTATGTCAAATACATTGTGAAATAATTGAGACCAAATGCTCTGTTCCTATAGTGAAACATTGCAGTTTCACTCATTACTCAAACAAATCTGAAGTAAATTGATCTGAACCCCCCACTGTGCCCCATCAATGATCCTCCCAAAAACTAAGTCTACACTTCAAATCCTTACCCTCAGCGGAAGCCACAAGAGAGGAAGGGAGAGTGAGTGTGTGATGGGATTCAGTGGATGGACATAGATGGGCGAGTGTTGAAGAGAGGGAGCTGTTGCGATAGGGAAACTGAAAAATGTTCACTGATGCCCTGCCAAACAGAGCAGAACGAAATTGCATCCGCACCCCGCCTACCCCCCTACACACAAACACACACACACACACACACACACACACACACACACACACACACACACACACACACACACACACACACACACACACACACACACACACACACACACACACACACACACACACACACACACACACACACACACACACACACACACACACACACACATATCTGCCATGATAAGTACACACAAGCACATCCCATCTTTCAACTCTCTACCTCCTATGGCTATTGAATTAATTCCAGTGTTTGGATTTTCACATATAGGTTTTTAGATGATACTTCGACGAAAGAGAAGTGTTTGTGCAGGATGAACAGATGGATCACACTGAGAACCAGAATGGGAGAATAGCACACCTTAGTTGATGCCAAGATCAGTACGTGCATTTTGTGCTTAGGCCACGACAGTTTTTCCATCCTGTTCCTATGCTGAACAGTGAGGGGTGGACAGGATATCCAAATCTCCTCAGGTGAAGTGTCAGGTAGTGTCCAATGTTGCAACGTCCTCTCTAGAGAGAAGAAGAGGCTGTTTATAAAAGTATATCCACATCTATAAAGCCTACAAGGGTAACAATTAGCAGGTATCAGAGTGGGATTTATTTGTATGAACAGCTAAGTCTTGAATCAAGTCCCTTCCAATGCAGTAGCATACCCCAACCTTAATCACATTTTGAATTCCTCTTCAGGTCCTCAATAAAAGCCTCCAAAACTTGGCTAGTTGACCCTACCACACTTCCAAACCAAATGAATTCTGGCGCACTTTCTCGGTTCGATCCCATCTTCAAACACAGCCTTCATCTACACCTATAACATTGTTGTGGTGTCAAATAAGGTCAGTGTGTGTGTGCCCTCCCTTGCTTGGACCACGCTCATATTTGAACAAGGCTTTCATTTTGATCTCAATTAAACATCCATAAAGATTCAAGACTGCATGTTGCACAATGACGACACAATCAAAGTCACAAAAATGCCTGTGACCTAAGATTTTCATTGTCATAACTACAGTCTAGCTATGTACACATGACAATAAAAGCCTTGAAACCTTGAAAAATAGGTCTCTGAAAAGGTGAAAAAAGCCTACATTTTCTCACACTGCATATTCTTTTTAAGCTGAACCTTTAATCTCATTCCTGTCCTTATTTTAACTCCCAGTATTGTAAATCAAGCAAAAGCTTATTCTCGGTGACTCAGCATAAGATTGACAGTTTAAGATGATAACAGGGGAGGCGTCAATTTGCTGGATAGATACAGAAAATAAACTCAAGAGAGCTGTGCTGCCACTAGGTGATGACAAAGCTTTTCAATGATTCAACCAGCAGGGTGCAAACAGACATATTTACTTTCCTCCTGTGCTGGTTAAGGTAATCAGACCAATGAAAACACCCTACATGTTAATAGTGAGATGCAGATAAGCATATTCACAGACCATGTCAATGTAGCACTGGGCACATCGCATTATTGCATAATATTGTTATTATATGATATGACATTAAACCTTTTCAAGTTTGCAGAGCACTTTGTCAAGCAGTTGTCATTCCTCTGTAAAAGGCATCATTGGAGATGTAGCCTAGTAGAAGATTGTGGCTTTGATATATGCACTATAATGAGATGATGAAAATAAAATGGAATAAAGTAGTATTCAGTTCTGTTTTGTCTTGGAATTTGTATCTTTTCAAATTTGAGATTTGCAAGTTAGGTGAAGGTGCTTCATATATATAATTGAATGATAAAGTGACAGATAGTTTTAAATAAAAAAGTACCCAAGCTTACTATTCCTATGGGATACTATATAGTGCCACTGTCTAATTCATCTAATTATATTCCATATTTGGGGAAATCATGATTTCAATTTCATTTTTTTACATAACATTGTTGAGTTCAGTGATGTTGATATCAGTACTGCTTAATGGAAAAAGTTACTTTGTGTTGTATTGTCTACAAACGTAAACAAAAAAGGTTTTTACTGTGTGTCATCACTTATTGGATTAAGGCAGATTTAAGACTGTAATTCTAAAATTAAAGTGTGTTTCAAGAAACACCCAAAAATTGCTTTTATACTGATAACTTACCGTGAGAGGAATCAATTCGACAAGACAAAGGTCATCTCACCGGAGCCAAGTAACAACTGGTCAAACAAACTAAAGGATTTGCTCAAGATGAGGAATCTAATCCAATTGGAAGTCCAGAAGAATGCAATCCTGTGTATAAATAGGTCTACTACTCTATGGCTATGCTGTCAGTGAATAAATCGGAAACATGCTTCTTTCTGCTCTGAAATTAAGGTTTGATCTTGTGATCTTTTGGAGAAATGCGGCTTTGCAAGCAACACATAGTTCAATTTCATGAAGTTGTGACAATAAATACTAATCTCTCTGAACTGACCAAAGAGCTTACAGAATAAGTCTGTGTTTATCATGTTTTCCACCAATTCATCTTCACATTTTTACACTTTCGTTTGACTTCAATTACACATCCATAAAGATTCAAGACTGCATGTTGCACAATGGTGACACATCACAGTCACAAAAGTAGGTCTCTAAAAACATAAAAATAGCCTACACTTTATCATTTTTTAGTCTAACCTTTAATCTAATTAATTTCCTTATTTTAACTTCCAGTATTATAAATCATCCAAAAGCTCATTCTACTGACTCAGCATAAGATTGACAGTTTAAGATGATAACAGGGGGGGCGTCAATTTGCTGGATAGATACAGAAAATAAACTAAAGGGAACTGTGCCGCCACTAGGTGATGACAAAGCTTTTCAATGATTCAAACAGCAAGGTGCATACAGACATCTTTACTTCTCTCCTGTGCTGGTTAAGGTAATCAGACCAATGAAAACACTGTATGTCACGTTAATAGTGAGCTGCACATAAGCATATTCGCAGACCATGTAAATGTAGCACTGGGCACATCGCATTATTGCATAATATTGTTATTGTATATGATATGACATTAAACCTTTTCACGTTTGCAGAGCACTTTGTCAAGCAGTTGTCATTCCACTGTATAAGTCATCACTGGAGATTTATTACAAGATTGTGGCTTCATTATATGCACTATAATGAGATGATGAAAATAAAATAAACCCAACATGGAATAAAGTAGTATTCAGTTCTGTTTTGTCTTTGGAATTTGTGTCTATTTAAATTTGAGATTTGCAAGTTAGCTAACAGTGTACACAACTTTAACCTTATATTGATTTTTACAAATTGTGCATTATGAACAACCACACTTTCAACATTGGCCTGAGGACATCTGGTGGGAATGTTTTTCTTTCTTTCATGAGGAAGAATGAAACTGAAAGTCATTGTCTAGCAGTATTTTTCCACCATGGCACATTCATTATATACTGTAAGCTTACAGCATTGTACAATAAACATAACTTTGAGTCCATAAATTAGTCAATACAAACATATAGGCATACCTTTTGCGTATTAAAAACCTATAATTTCATTTGACATTTCATAACAACAGGACAGATTTGACTTGTATTAGATGTTGGTTTCTACACTGTGGTATTGCTACTTTAGGTAGAAAAACTTTCTCCACAATTGTTGGAATATGGAAAACATGGTCTAATCAATGTGTTGTAACCATTGGTGTTTCAAATTAATTGTAACCCAGCCTCATGCCCTTCTTTTGCAGGCCCACAGGAAAGAAGGGAGGGTTTAAACACAACCGAAACTAAATACAAAGCTGCAAATTAAATCTGAACAAACCGTTCCCAGAGAAGAGCAACTTCTGAGAAGAGAGAAATAAGGGTTCCAGGATGACTTTGACCTTGTAAGTAATTATACGATGAGATTGTAAGTAGTTTTGCAGGTTATTGGTCACAGGCTTACATTAAAGTACAAATTAAAATGTTGCTAAAATGTCAAACCATGACCAAAGTTGTCATCGTGAGGGGAACATAAATGTCTCTACCAAATGTCATGGCATAAATCAAATCATGAGGACACATGCTGACTGTTTTTCATTCCTTTTCAGGGAAAGTTGTTCTTTCATCGTTGGGATCGAAGGGCTGAAAATTGTATTTGCAGGTTTGACTTTAACCTCCACTACTGCCATTATAGGAGTAGTGGGAGTTGTCGCATACAAAATGGTGGTAAGTGATATAACAAAATGCTGGTAAAGTCTGATGAAATAATAACCTACTTTCTAATTGAAATGCCTAAACATGTAAGACTATCACAATATTGGTTATTATCATTTGTTTTATTTTTTTAGGGAAAAGAAAAGCCAAAAAGGGACCTGATTATAGAGGATCATTTAGTCCTCTATATTTACCTGTGAAAATATAAATGGAAGCTTGACAATAAAACCAAAGATGGCAGACTATTTTTATCTGACTAAATAGCTGCAATAACTGCACTTTGAACACACCCTTTGATCTATTGTTACATGCAAACTTGCTGCCCTGGGAAAATACTATCTGAAGGAAAGCACAAAGTAGTTTAAAGTTTTATCTTTATGCATCAAGAAAGTTTGAGACTCTACTTATCTTTAGTATAGGACACATTTTGTTTAAGTATCTTGTTCAAAAATTACTCATTCTGACTGAGCGCACTCTGGCATGGTGTTTAGAAGCACGACTGTCTTAGGTGCCAAATAAGTTATTATCAGAAGAAACACTAAGGACGTGGCCTTTGTATAATGAAGTCTATTTTCAAAGGGCTTACTAAACCGAATGATGTTAATGCATCCCACAAATCTAGTTCTCATAAGAGTTAAATATATAAATGATATGCTCAACCAATAGATTGAGACGCCCCGTTAATAGGAACCAAACATACAACTTCACATTACATATTTTCTTGGAATATTGCTATTAAGAGAGCAATAGATGATCAAGGATGGCTTTAGCTGGGTTCTGTAAATGGGGTTTTGGTACTAAAGGGGATAGGGTGCATATATATAGTTGAGTGATAAAGTGACAGATAGTTAAAAAAAAAAAAAGGTACCAAAGCAATAGTATACATATATTGCCACTGTGGTCATTCTTCTCTGTGGTTAGTCACATATTTGGGGAAATTATGGTTTCAATGTCCTTTTTTTACATAACGTTTTTGAGTTCAGTCAAGTTGTTTAATCAAAACTGTTTAGTGGAAAAGTTAAAAGACTTTCGTTTTATTGTCTGTAAACTTACATTTTTTTTTTTTCACTGCGTATCATCATTTATTGGATTAAGGCAGATTTAAGACTGTGATTCTAAAATGAATGGATACAAGAAACACCCAAAAATTGCTTTTATACTGATAACTTACTGTCAGTGGAATGAATTCGACAAGACAACTGTCATCTCACCGGAGCCAAGCAACAACTGCTGAAACAAACAAAAGGCTTTACTCAAGAGGAGGATTCTAATCCAACAGGAAGTCCAGAAGAATGCAATCCTGTGTATAAATATGTCTACTACTATATGGCTATGCTGTCAGTGAATACATCGGAAACATGCCTGTTTCTGCTCTGAAATTAAGGTTTGATCTTTTGGAGCGGCTATGAAAGCAACACATAATTCAATTTCATGAAGTTGTGACAATAACTAATAATCTCTTTGCACTGACCAAAGAGTTTACAGAATAAGTCTGTGTTTACCATGTTTTCACCCATATTGTTTCCTCAATAACTTATTGAATCTAGTTTGTAACAAATTAGTCAAGTCATACATTGTATATGAAAGTTTTGAAGCTAGATAAGAAAAATGTATTTCTGTATCTCCTCTTCAAATTTCTTACACGTCGTTCAGTTTTTATAAAGATGGTCATTGGAGTGATTGCGCTGAATGTCACTAACGTGCTCAAAATAGAACGTTGTGGATTCAATGCAATTTAATACTCACACTTGGCCTTTGATCCGTGAAGGGAACCAGGAATCAGCCGCCAGGAACACAATAAAAGGTTGTTCTTGTATCTTTGCTCTGACATGCCACATGGGTCTGGCACTGAGCAGTTTCTATAGCATCTCCTCTTCTTGCAATATTAATACACGATGAAAATAAATGTTGGTTAAGGTCGATGTGCTCATAATAGACACATTCAGACCAAACCAACGCAAAGTGTCAAAGTGGCTCAGACCGAAAGGATCTTTTGTTGTATTGTCACAAAAACTACACATCTAAATAACACAGGGAAGATAGGTTGACATTTTTATGTTGTCCAACTACTGGGGGCACACACTCAAATGTTTGTCCTTTTTTATGACATAAGGCTTTAACCACCTTTTTTTGTCACTGAGGTCTGCTTTAAATCGAGGTTAAAGCAGCGAGGAGACAGAGCGTTTTGTTGCAGCTCTAAAGTTATGGAACGAATTACCCCTCCAGGTTAGACTTGCTCCAACTCTGCCTGTTTTTAAATCTCGTTTAAAAACCCACTTCATTTCCGTGGCATTTACAGGCCAGGTGACACTTGTGCTTTTAAATTTGGGTTTTTATCTTACTAGTGTTTTGTATTGTTTTTACGTCATGTAGGAGTTTTTCAGTCTGTGGCTTCTGATCTGGTTTCATCGTCTCGTGTTTTACATTTGTTTCATGTCCTGTCTGTTTTTCATGTATTTATGCTATGTTTTTTATATAGTTGTTGATGTACAGCACTTTGTTCAACTCTGTTGTTTTTAAATGTGCTGTAGAAATCAAATGGATTGGATTGTAAGGATGGTTTAGACTTTCGATATTATTTCATCTGTGAGCAACAAACTACCCTCAAACAAGCCTTTGAAACAGTTCCTCAATACAAAGATCTAAAACCCAAATCGCTCTTCACCAGTGCACACTCAGACACACACTGAATAAAAGCTAGACAAGAACAAGAGATACATTTGGTTTCATGTAAAACAACTTTAATGAGTTGAGTTAAATCTTCAGATTTCTCAACTCTGACGGCAGAGCACAAATAATTCACAGATATAAGACGGACTGAGCCGTTGACCAAATTACACATTAACTGCGTCCATGTGCTTGTGTGTCTATAAACATGTGACTAGTACAGAATAGTTACGTTATTAAACTTCTTAATTGTTACTGAACATTTCTGCCGGTGTTCCTTGAATCTTCTCGGACATAGGAGGACTGGTATGTGTGCATTTTGTTGTTCTGGTCTGTTCAGTTGTGACTGGCTGCTGGAGGGCCCGGCTGAGCTGGTGCTATCCCATCAGGCTGAGAGGACGGGTCTGAGACAGTGACAGAAGAAGATCACACCCACAGAATCAGAACATGCTAAAAAAAAAAACATAAAACATCCAGTTAAAGCTATTGCTATAAGCTATTACTCACACATGCCATTGGGAGCTCCAGGATGTCGAGGAGCCATTGTCTGGGCGTTTACTCCACCAGGAATCATCCTGTTGGGCATGGGCTGAGCTGAAGCAGGAGGCACAGCTGCAGTATGGAGAGAACCACAGATATAGGACAAACAATAATTTAACAGACAAGAAGTAAACACACTTGACTCGTTTCATTGCGTTCTCAGAGGGTTAATCTTAAAGCAGGTGTGTCAAACATACGGATGACTTTGCAAAGTGTAAACATCGCAGAGAAGACATTAACTGCAAGTTGATACATTTACAAGGCAGGGGGATAACGTGACCTTCTTCCTTAATAGTTACCACTTAAGTTTGTATGGTGGTGTGTCAATTCAGTTGGTCAGGTTTACTACATAGCAGGGTTTCCGCTAGGATTTTTTCTCGCCGGTCAAATGTCCGGGCAGAATTTATTTTACCGGACACATTTGAAACTTACCGGTCATATTTCACTAATAATAATAAGAGTTGTGTAGCAGAGTTTCCGTTAGCAGGTAATTACCGGACTATGAGCAGATATGCTGATGTTTAAAACTCAGTTCACGGGGCTCATTTTTATATTGCTTCAGTTTATAATCGTAACAGATCGAAAAATTCAGATTCATTTTTCAATAAATTATTCCACAAACAACATAATTACTACATTCAAACTAACTACTTGTAGTAGATAACGTACATTATTCAAAAGTTTACATCAACTTTGAATAATAACAGGGGAGAAACGAATCCTCTCTCTCTCTCTCCTGACAGACAGCCCGTCAGTTTCTCATGCAGCTCCTGCAGCTCGCTAAACAGTGGGCGGGGCTTCAGGTGATTATGCAGAGCTGCGTGTCTCGGTCAGACTCAGCAGCTGATCTGATCTCTCTCGCGTGTCCGGTTATACTTCACTCGCGTTTATGTCCATATCGATCAGATCCAGCTCTCCTGATCGGCCTTTATAGAGGGCACAGATCAAACTATTAAGAGTGAATATCGGCCGATAATGACCGGCGGCCGATCTATCGGAGCATCCCTAATTATTACCAGACATTTTGACCGGTAGGTTTTGAATTTACCGGTTTTTAATAAATGTTACCAGCTAAAAACCGGTAATTACCGGCTAACGGAAACCCTGCTACATAGATGTGGAAATTAATGTAAAATCATTTCAGATCTTGACAAGTTGCTTTGATCATAAAGTAAAATACTATGTTGTTCAGCTCCAGATACCTGTGTCTAAGTGTTTTGTGTCTATGTAGATACACTGTAATCTGTACATTGTCGTGAACAAGTGAAAAGGATAAACTGAGGCATGAACTTGTTAAAATTGCACTATTCTTCTTAAGAAATGTCAGATTGTTCAAAGTGTTTTTAAAAAAGATAGTTAATTAAATGTGGACATTCTCCAAATGTACATGTTGTTGCACTAAAACAAAAGGGGAAGGAGTTTTTATTATTATTCTATGATTTTACTGGTCCGACGCACTTGAGATCAAATTTGGCTGTATGTGGCCCCTGAACTAGAATGAGTTTGACGCCCCTGTCTTAGAGGGTGTTTGATTATTGGTCGGTGTCTGTGGGGTCACCTGTTGGCTGCCCGGTGTATCCCGGCTGCGCCTGCTGCTCCCTCTGCTGGCGAACCTTGATCTCTGCCTGTTTGAGCTGCTCGGTGTGGAAAGTCTGTCTCTCAGAGAGGAGCTGCTGCCGCTGCTGCTCCAGCTGTAAGATACACAAAGACAAAAAGTATGAATGATACGCACAGATTACTGGACATGTTGCAAAAAACTGAGAGCAGCAGATGTTCACTCACAGCCTCTTTCTCTCGGTCCATGATGGTCTCCAGCTCCTCAAAGTGTCTCAGCTTGATCTCCAGCTTCTTCATCTGGGTCTCCACCAGCAGAGCCACCAGGGACTTGATCTTCCTCTCTTCTACTGCTGCCAGGTGCTGCAAACAAATGAGGCAAACATGGAGAAAGTTAAAAGCAGGTAAATGTTGGAAGGAAATGGACACCATAAATGAGTAAGGACCTGGTTTAGAAAGAAGGGAATGAAGAAAGTAGCAGAGGTGAAGATAAGAGGGACAACACAGAGGAAGGAAGGAAAAGATAAGAGGTGAGAGGAGGGTAGAATACATTGGGTGTGACAGAGCGTGGTAAGGTGTGGGAGAGAAAATAAATGACGAGACTCTTCCGCAGCAAGACTCTCATAGCTCCCTGGGTTACAATAAAATACTCATTTTGAATCAAAGCCAATTTGAATCACTTATCATGTATTTGTATTATTTAAAATAATCCCTGTCTCTTATCTGTCAGACATGCTGAAAATCCAAAATAAAAAATACTCAATTCTATTTGCAGGTCTAAGTATTAGATATATTTGTTTTATAATTTCCGGGGCTGAAAGGAACAACATTTCGTCTGTTTAATTTTACACACGTAAATGAAAATAAATCCTCTCTAAGATGGTGCATGTCGAGTTGCTTAGAAACAGCTGCAGACCTGCTTTTTATTTTTTATAAATGACAACCATTTTCTTCACTTCACGTCCCTGTGATAGGGCGGGCTTTACCTTGGCCTTTGTGGCAGCGGAGGAAAGAGCAGCAGCTGCTGCCGTGACAACGCTGCCATCCACCAGATCCTGCTCCAACAACCTCCCCTCATCCACGTCTGCCTGATCAAAGCTCTCGTCATCATCTACCCTTACTGGATCAAGGAGAGAATTTCTTTAATAACAGACACAGTCAATTTGTATACTGTAAAAATTAACATACCTCCGTCTCCCTCCTCTGCAAGTATATTTTCAGCATTTTCGCTTTTGACTAGTTCTCCCGTCACATTGGCCACACTGGGTTCCACTTTGAGCCCATCTGTCCTTAAAGGAACCTGGGACACACACACACACACACACACACACACACACACACACACACACACACACACACACACACACACACACACACACACACACACACACACACACACACACACACACACACACACACAACACACACACACACACACACACACACACACACACACACACACACACACACACACACACACACACACACACACACACACACACACACACACACACACACACACACAC